ACAAGATCATGAAGACAGGAGACAGGGATATGACAAGATCATGAAGACAGGGATATGACAAGATCATGAAGACAGGGATATGACAAGATCATGAAGACAGGGATATGACAAGATCATGAAGACAGGGATATGACAAGATCATGAAGACAGGAGACAGGGATATGACAGGAACATAGCTATTTGAGACTACGGTAGGAACATAGCTATTTGAGACTACGGTAGGAACATAGCTATTTGAGACTACAGTAGGAACATAGCTATTTGAGACTACAGTAGGAACATAGCTATTTGAGACTACAGTAGGAACATAGCTATTTGAGGCTACAGTAGGAACATAGCTATTTGAGACTACAGTAGGAACATAGCTATTTGAGACTACAGTAGGAACATAGCTATTTGAGACTACAGTAGGAACATAGCTATTTGAGACTACAGTAGGAACATAGCTATTTGAGGCTAAGGTAGGAACATAGCTATTTGAGACTACAGTAGGAACATAGCTATTTGAGGCTACGGTAGGAACATAGCTATTTGAGACTACAGTAGGAACATAGCTATTTGAGACTACAGTAGGAACATAGCTATTTGAGACTACGGTAGGAACATAGCTATTTGAGGCTAAGGTAGGAACATAGCTATTTGAGACTACAGTAGGAACATAGCTATTTGAGGCTAAGGTAGGAACATAGCTATTTGAGACTACGGTAGGAACATAGCTATTTGAGACTACAGTAGGAACATAGCTATTTGAGACTACAGTAGGAACATAGCTATTTGAGACTACAGTAGGAACATAGCTATTTGAGACTACAGTAGGAACATAGCTATTTGAGGCTACGGTAGGAACATAGCTATTTGAGACTACAGTAGGAACATAGCTATTTGAGACTACGGTAGGAACATAGCTATTTGAGACTACAGTAGGAACATAGCTATTTGAGACTACAGTAGGAACATAGCTATTTGAGACTACGGTAGGAACATAGCTATTTGAGACTACAGTAGGAACATAGCTATTTGAGACTACAGTAGGAACATAGCTATTTGAGTTGAGACTACGGTAGGAACATAGCTATTTGAGACTACAGTAGGAACATAGCTATTTGAGACTACAGTAGGAACATAGCTATTTGAGACTACAGTAGGAACATAGCTATTTGAGACTACAGTAGGAACATAGCTATTTGAGACTACAGTAGGAACATAGCTATTTGAGACTACAGTAGGAACATAGCTATTTGAGACTACGGTAGGAACATAGCTATTTGAGACTACGGTAGGAACATAGCTATTTGAGACTACGGTAGGAACATAGCAATTTGAGACTACAGTAGGAACATAGCTATTTGAGACTACAGTAGGAACATAACTATTTGAGTTGAGGCTACAGTAGGAACATAGCTATTTGAGGCTACAGTAGGAACATAGCTATTTGAGGCTAAGGTAGGAACATAGCTATTTGAGACTACAGTAGGAACATAGCTATTTGAGACTACAGTAGGAACATAGCTATTTGAGGCTACAGTAGGAACATAGCTATTTGAGGCTACAGTAGGAACATAGCTATTTGAGACTACGGTAGGAACATAGCTATTTGAGTTGAGACTACAGTAGGAACATAGCTATTTGAGACTACAGAAGGAACATAGCTATTTGAGACTACAGTAGGAACATAGCTATTTGAGGCTACAGTAGGAACATAGCTATTTGAGACTACAGTAGGAACATAGCTATTTGAGACTACAGTAGGAACATTGCTATTTGAGGCTACAGTAGGAACATAGCTATTTGAGGCTACAGTAGGAACATAGCTATTTGAGGCTACGGTAGGAACATAGCTATTTGAGACTACAGTAGGAACATAGCTATTTGAGACTACAGTAGGAACATAGCTATTTGAGTTGAGACTACAGTAGGAACATAGCTATTTGAGACTACAGTAGGAACATAGCTATTTGAGACTACAGTAGGAACATAGCTATTTGAGACTACAGTAGGAACATAGCTATTTGAGACTACAGTAGGAACATAGCTATTTGAGACTACAGTAGGAACATAGCTATTTAAGACTACGGTAGGAACATAGCTATTTGAGGCTACAGTAGGAACATAGCTATTTGAGACTACAGTAGGAACATAGCTATTTGAGGCTACGGTAGGAACATAGCTATTTGAGACTACAGTAGGAACATAGCTATTTGAGACTACAGTAGGAACATAGCTATTTGAGGCTACGGTAGGAATATAGCTATTTGAGACTACAGTAGGAACATAGCTATTTGAGACTACAGTAGGAACATAGCTATTTGAGACTACAGTAGGAACATAGCTATTTGAGACTACAGTAGGAACATAGCTATTTGAGACTACGGTAGGAACATAGCTATTTGAGACTACAGTAGGAACATAGCTATTTGAGACTACGGTAGGAACATAGCTATTTGAGGCTACAGTAGGAACATAGCTATTTGAGACTACAGTAGGAACATAGCTATTTGAGGCTACGGTAGGAACATAGCTATTTGAGACTACAGTAGGAACATAGCTATTTGAGACTACAGTAGGAACATAGCTATTTGAGACTACAGTAGGAACATAGCTATTTGAGGCTACGGTAGGAACATAGCTATTTGAGACTACAGTAGGAACATAGCTATTTGAGACTACAGTAGGAACATAGCTATTTGAGACTACAGTAGGAACATAGCTATTTGAGACTACAGTAGGAACATAGCTATTTGAGACTACAGTAGGAACATAGCTATTTGAGACTACAGTAGGAACATAGCTATTTGAGACTATAGTAGGAACATAGCTATTTGAGACTACAGTAGGAACATAGCTATTTGAGGCTAAGGTAGGAACATAGCTATTTGAGACTACGGTAGGAACATAGCTATTTGAGACTACAGTAGGAACATAGCTATTTGAGACTACAGTAGGAACATAGCTATTTGAGACTACAGTAGGAACATAGCTATTTGAGGCTACGGTAGGAACATAGCTATTTGAGACTACAGTAGGAACATAGCTATTTGAGACTACAGTAGGAACATAGCTATTTGAGACTACAGTAGGAACATAGCTATTTGAGACTACAGTAGGAACATAGCTATTTGAGACTACAGTAGGAACATAGCTATTTGAGACTACGGTAGGAACATAGCTATTTGAGACTACAGTAGGAACATAGCTATTTGAGACTACGGTAGGAACATAGCTATTTGAGGCTACAGTAGGAACATAGCTATTTGAGACTACAGTAGGAACATAGCTATTTGAGGCTACGGTAGGAACATAGCTATTTGAGACTACAGTAGGAACATAGCTATTTGAGACTACAGTAGGAACATAGCTATTTGAGACTACGGTAGGAACATAGCTATTTGAGGCTACGGTAGGAACATAGCTATTTGAGACTACAGTAGGAACATAGCTATTTGAGACTACAGTAGGAACATAGCTATTTGAGACTACAGTAGGAACATAGCTATTTGAGACTACAGTAGGAACATAGCTTTTTGAGACTACGGTAGGAACATAGCTATTTGAGACTACAGTAGGAACATAGCTATTTGAGACTACGGTAGGAACATAGCTATTTGAGACTACGGTAGGAACATAGCTATTTGAGACTACAGTAGGAACATAGCTATTTGAGGCTACGGTAGGAACATAGCTATTTGAGACTACAGTAGGAACATAGCTATTTGAGACTACAGTAGGAACATAGCTATTTGAGACTACAGTAGGAACATAGCTATTTGAGACTACAGTAGGAACATAGCTATTTGAGACTACGGTAGGAACATAGCTATTTGAGACTACAGTAGGAACATAGCTATTTGAGACTACGGTAGGAACATAGCTATTTGAGACTACAGTAGGAACATAGCTATTTGAGGCTACAGTAGGAACATAGCTATTTGAGATTGATCGTGAAATTATTTTTGTTTTTACCCCAAACAAGCATTATCAAACACGTATTTAGTATCAGACACATATTTAGTATCAAACACATATTTAGTATCAGACACGTATTTAGTATCAGACACATATTTAGTATCAAACACATATTTAGTATCAAACACATATTTAGTATCAGACACATATTTAGTATCAGACACATATTTAGTATCAAACACATATTTAGTATCAGACACGTATTTAGTATCAAACACATATTTAGTATCAAACACATATTTAGTATCAGACACATATTTAGTATCAGACACATATTTAGTATCAAACACATATTTAGTATCAGACACGTATTTAGTATCAAACACATATTTAGTATCAAACACATATTTAGTATCAGACACATATTTAGTATCAGCCACGTATTTGGGGTCATGGTGAGTTCACACACACCTGTGATGCTGCAAGGAGGGGACCTAGCCCTCAACATTTGCAAGGTTGTGAAATAAAAATAAAAGCAGAGAGAAATGGTAGATTTGGTTAGCTTTAAAAACAGAGGGTCAGTTCAAATACCAGAGGATAAATTAAATTAGGCTATAGGTAAAGAAATCAGGCTTAAAAGATATACTTTTCAATTCAAGTACGGCAATATTTAAATTACTTTTTCCTTATGTTTTTGGAAAATATTTCACTCAAAATAAGTGGAAAATTGGGAATAGATTTTCCTCGAATTCTGGAAATTTTGGAAATTTGCAAAAATTTGGAATCTTGACCAAGATTTAATCCTTATCTAGTACCGTCAGATCTAATGTAATCATCCAAACAAAAATAAATGTGATATGAATGGAGTGAAAACAAAGAAAAGAACAATAACAATTCATCTAATAATGGTAGGCCAAGGCTAAAACTCAATTTAAACAGGAATCTCTAGAGGTCATTTAAAATATTTTTAAAACTTCATACAAATTTGGCAGAAATCTGTGAAAAATATTGGAAGAAAATTAAATTAGTAGGGAAAATTGCTTTCAAACAGAAAAAAATCAGATTTCCACTACAAAGAATAATCCCTGATTACATACTGTTGAGGTTCCTCAAGTGATAGGCAAGTGGTGCTGATGACTCTCCAATAAGGGCAGGATGTTTCATCTTCAGCTTGTAGAACTTGCTGCATTGTAAACACGTCTCCTGCATCATACACCTGAAATCACATCACTTGTGTCATAGGCCTGAAATCACATCACTTGTGTCATAGGCCTGAAATCACATCACTTGTGTCATAGGCCTGAAATCACATCACTTGTGTCATAGGCCTGAAATCACATCACTTGTATCATAGGCCTGAAATCACATCACTTGTATCATAGGCCTGAAATCACATCACTTGTATCATAGGCCTGAAATCACATCACTTGTGTCATAGGCCTGAAATCACATCACTTGTATCATAGGCCTGAAATCACATCACTTGTGTCATAGGCCTGAAATCACATCACTTGTGTCATAGGCCTGAAATCACATCACTTGTGTCATAGGCCTGAAATCACATCACTTGTGTCATAGGCCTGAAATCACATCACTTGTGTCATAGGCCTGAAATCACATCACTTGTGTCATAGGCCTGAAATCACATCACTTGTGTCATACACCTGAAATCACATCACTTGTGTCATAGGCCTGAAATCACATCACTTGTGTCATAGGCCTGAAATCACATCTTAAAACTAAAATTATTTTCAATTTCTCTGCATTTGCAACTTTTATATTATTGATTCTTAAAATACTACATTTTTAAAAAATTTTCAAGCCCAAGTTTTATTTTTATTGTTGATTATGGCCGCCATGAAGGCAAAATTGACAAAATACAATTTTAATCAATGTCAACAATAATGATGTAAGAATTTAAAAAAAAAAATATTTTTATTCGTGTAGTGCAAAGATAGTTAAAATTAACAGAATTTTTTTAAAAATATACGGGTATTCCCCTGAGTGGTTGTTAAAACTTAAATAACTGCTTGCTCTTGTCTCTAAATAATAAAAATTAGAAAACTAAAGAAATAAACTGAACTTATCAAAAATATATTACAAGCACCGGTAGCTTTACTAGAGAGAAAATTTGTGTTCTTCCCATAATTTGAGTCCATTTAAAATTTGTGTTCTTCCCATAATTTGAGTCCATTTAAAAAGTTTTTTCTAGGCCCACATGTTTTATTTGATGTAGTTAGAAGCCCTATAAGAGCCCTGGGGCAGTAGCCTACCTCTTGCAGCAGCTTCCAGTATAAAGTGTACCAATACTTGTGGGGAATCCCTGAACCCAGCAGCTGACTACTGTGATTGTGTACAAACATTTCAAATGCTTCTTTACCATCATCACTAACAGCATACGAATCCGTTGACATTGTTTGTTCAAACATTTTGTTTTTTATTCCTAAAAAATATATAATAAAATGGTTAGGCCGATTTAAATTTATTGCTACAGGTTTTTTCAAATACAAGGTGATTAGTGAGAAATGTGTTGCTTTGAAATATGAGCAAAATTTTGGACATGAGAAAACAAATAAGCATTTGTTAATAAGAAATGTTAAAGATTGATTTTCATTCAATTGAAAAATTGTACAGTAGCATTCAAGTTTAGTAAAGTTTAGATTAGTCCCATGAAGTTTAGGAAGTGGGCATGGGGCCCATGTCCCAATAACCATAACAGCTATTGGAACCCTGCATTAAATTTGGTCTATTACTATAGTTATACATTCACATAATCCATATTAAAATGTATACCTTTTATGTTTATTTGATTTTTTTTCTTGTAGAGTTGCTAGTATTTTGTTGTGGTGTTTTTATTGTAGATTTCTGTGGATTTGATAGTAGATCTAATGGAACAATTTCATTCCTCGGACGATTTTACTTACCTAAGACGATAGATTACCAAATATATAAATATTAATAATAATATAGATCTAATAATTAGTAATGGAATCTAGTAGGTTTAATAATTAATATATAATATTAATACTAGTATAGTAAATTAGTAATAGGTAGACACTAGCAATAAGGCTCCAGGAGAAGCCAGATTCACAGCAGACATGCTAAAAGCAGACCCAAAAATAGGTGCACAAACTTTATCAGGGATCTTCAACAAAGTATGGAATGAAGAAAAAGTGCCAGACTCATGGAAACGGAAAATCATTATCAAATTACCCAAAAAAAGGGGCCTGAATGTTTTACTACAAAGAATGAGGAAAAGAATGGATGGAATCCTTCGTGAGGAGCAAGCTGGCTTTAGGGCCAACAGGTCATGTGATGAGCAAATATTTGTCTTGCGCACCATAGTGGAACAGTCCCTGGAGTGGAACTCTCAACTACAGAGATTTTGGGAAGGCATTTGATAGCATCCATCAACTACAGAGATTTTGGGAAGGCATTTGATAGCATCCATCAACTACAGAGATTTTGGGAAGGCATTTGATAGCATCCATCAACTACAGAGATTTTGGGAAGGCATTTGATAGCATCCATCAACTACAGAGATTTTGGGAAGGCATTTGATAGCATCCATCAACTACAGAGATTTTGGGAAGGCATTTGATAGCATCCATCAACTACAGAGATTTTGGGAAGGCATTTGATAGCATCCATCAACTACAGAGATTTTGGGAAGGCATTTGATAGCATCCATCAACTACAGAGATTTTGGGAAGGCATTTGATAGCATCCATCAAGATGGAAGATACAAGAGTAGGGTGTCACCTAAGATTTCAAACTTCATTTTTGTTCAAAATGACTTAACCCTTTATCTACTGAAGGTACTTATAAGTACCACTTTAATTAAGTGCCTGTACTATTGTTAATTTAAGACGAATTTTTAAAATTATTGATGTAATTGATATTATTATCTCCCTTGAATCACAGGTAGGTGGAGGGATCGATGTTTTTTGAAAATTTCTGGTGTGGCGCCACTGTCAATCTCTACCTGTATCGGTAGTTCACAATCGTTCTGTACATATCTCACATGTGCTCCTGATTTCCCTTTGTTTTACCTTATTCTTCAAGTTTTCAACACCGAATATTTTTTATTGGCATCCTTAATAGTCAGGTCAATGTATTTAGCTTCTAGTTTTAGAATTTTTATCAAATTGTCTTTGTAATAGATCGATGTTTACAAGTGGACTTATAAGTACTGTCAGGGCACACAGACATATTTTTAGGATTTCTAGGAAATAGGAGATTTTCGATTTGGAGTGACATAAATATTATTTTGATAATTAATTATCGAAATGTATTTAAAAAAAATATATTTATGCATTTATAAGAAGGTTAGCATAGGGTTTTCCTCAGAAATATTGTAATTAATTGCAGATTTCTAGTAGTAAAAGAAAAACAAGAATAGAGGTGGCAGTTGCAGGCTCGTTTAATAGGTTTAGTATACGTTATTTGTATACCAAAGTCTAGTTCTAGAAGTAAGATTTGTAAGTGATATTTGTTGAAGAAACTGTCTTGCCTACAATAGCTAGCGTGTACGTAATGTATACATGAAGACTAGTAATAGTCCATACATCTGCATGTAGTATAAATCGTTTTGTAATTTTGAATCAGTAAACACAAAACAGTAGGCCACTACAGCTATTCCAAACACATTGAGCTCACTTCTATTTATGAACTTTACAATGTAGTGTACACTTGTCATAACATTTTAGTAGGCTACAATTATACTAGCATTACTAGTAGTATTGTACTGAATGACTAGGATTTCGTTTTCAAAATATTTGTTTATACTGCTCATTGTAATGGCTATAGGAAGCCTCCAGCAAAAGCAGGTTCAGTCCGGCAACTGTTGCCACATCAGAAAGACGACAGACCAGAATGTATCAGGAATTAGGAATGAGGGAGCATGACATTGACATGTCGGCACCTTTTGCTGTGTTTGAGGTCTAAGATATGTTTCCATAGAAAATCCAGTAAAAATCCTACTCAAAATATACTTTTGTGCTGGGTTTATGTGTGAAAATTACAAAAAATGATTGTTATAATGATTGCCATGTTATTAGTTAATAAGTTGTATCGGTTTTTCCTGTTTTGTACATTTTTTAATTTTTGGAAAAATGTCCTACATTCCTGACGGTACTTATAAGTACCAATAAATGTTTGGGCCCTTAAAAATTTATGCAACAAAATTTCCTTCGACATATGCTTTAAATGTGCCAAAAGCAATATGATAACACATTGTTTAAGAACAAATGTCATTCGGAACCTAATTCCGTAAATAAAGGGTTAAACAATTAAAAACTACATTTATTTGCCTTAAATTTGATAACTTTTTACTTTTTCGTACATACACAGTATAGAGAAAGTCTTGTAATCTATAATCGTACAAAAAAAAAATTGAGATTTTTACAAATCTCGACATTTTACACCTCCCTGAGTCGGAAAAACATATTTTTGCAATCTTGTCCGTATGTCTGTGTGTATGTGTGTGTGTCTGTCTGTGTGTCTGTAAACACGATAACTTGAGTACTGTTACAGCTAGGTAGATGAAATTTCATATGTAAGTATTTTATCAAAATCGTAGATCCGTATCAACTTTTGAGCCATTTCCGATAACCGGAAGTGGTACTTTTTCTACTTTGAATTTTTCAAAAGCCTATAACTTGAGTACTATTTCACATAGATAAATGAAATTTCAAATGTAAGTAAAAGATCTAATCCTCTACCATCTATCAAATTTTGAGTAATTTCCGTTGACTGGAAGTAGTAATTTACGCTATTTCCGATTTCTCAAAAAACGCATGTAAATTTATAAAGTACTAATAATATTCCGCACTATTATGCACATTGTGTTTTGCCGTTCGCTTGGTGCGCAATTCTTTTTTCTATGAGATTCTATTCTATTTTTAAAAGTTTAAGTATTTAAAATGGATTAAAAATCATAACTATATCCCGAGTTCCCATCCCCTGTTGTTTTATATAAGAATATTAAAGAAAGTTTAGGGGAGATCATTCCCGGTTTATTTAAGGCGTGTTGCTGCGACGTGATTGACTTTTCAGTGCTGTTAAGCAGACATGTGTCATCTGCTGGATTTATTTATCCCCATTCAAATACACGGCAGGCAAAATGGACGGGTTTGGTTTGTTGTTGTCTCCATCAAGTTATGTTTTATAGATTTAGTTTTTACCCTGCATGATTTTTAAAACATTAGTGACATTAGTTTAGTAGAAAGCAAGTTATAATTACAGCTTGATATTCTCAGCGATTAGACAAAAAAAATGTACAAATGGCAAATTAGCATCAAACACTAATCGCCCATTGTTAAAACTAGACCGGTATCGTTGAATAATACACAAAAATAACAATTGGAAGTATACATTTCTGAAATTACCATGACAGGTTAAAAAAACGGAATCACAATATCGTCGTTTTCAGCAGCCATCTTTACCATAACGGTTAAAAAAGTAGTTCATGCAACAGGCTATACCAGGGTCGGCAACCTGCGGCTCGCGAGCCACATGCGGCTCTTTTGCAGTCAAGATGTGGCTCTCCAGATCCTTGCACACACATTAATAGTTAAATTATTTCGTTTTCAAAATTCGCAACAAATATACTGTAAAGAAACTCAACTTTAAAAACAGGATAACAACACTCATCAGAGAACAATGAGAGTTGGTGAGGTAGAAAGTATACGGACAGCCTACAGCCATTTGGGCACCAGGCCCAGCCGTGCTGTAGCCAGCCCCGTGGCAACCATTCCATGCTTGCCACTGCCCAAGTGCCCACTTTGCGAATATTGTTAAATGCGAATGCCATTTTATTCAGAATGCATGTCCATAGCGGTTAGTGATGATTAATTTGACGTGAGTGACGTAGTTTTTAAGTGATTTGTTACTATTGTTGAGCCGGGTACTGGACGGTGAGGTACGAGTTTACACTGGGCTCTGTGGGGTGGAAGATAAGTCTGATGGGATCCAAAGGACAGAAGCAACTGATACACTGTTATCAAACCAATATTCAGGCCAGTTAGTCAAAGTTAGCCAAGTTGAGGCCTGACTGGCTAATGGGAGACACCCACTGAGCAGGTGATGTACGTAAAGAAAGAAAAAGTTTTTAAAAAAGATTTTGATTAATAATTTCATTATTCTCGCGAAAGAAGTGTATGTTTTTATATGAATAAATATTATGCCATATTTAAATAAATATGTTAAGAATATGTTAAAAATATGTTAAGTATAAAACATTTTTTTAAAATCTATTTTAACAGTTAATCCCTGTTCCATAAGAAAACACAGACTCCTAAATCTACATCTAGGCCTAAACACTAAACAGTGAACAAGTAGATGACAAAAAAAACCAGGTAATTATAGACTAGAGTATAGATAGAGATATCATATCATGCGCATCTTTTTCCAGCTAGAATCTGTCATTTTTATTATTTATATTTAGTATGATTTAGAATTAGATCTAGTGGGACGGAGTGGTCTAGCGGTAGAAGAGAGCTGTACTGCTAACCCGTAAGTCTCGAGTTCAAATCAGTAGACTGTCCCTGAGTCCACCCAAATCTGATGGGGGTAATCTATCGTAACACTATCGTTTTCTGTTATACTTTGTAAAATTTGACTTCAATATACTTATTTTTTAAACAAATATAATATCATCAGTTACCTCTCCCGACTATTCTTACTTCTTACTAACTCTAGACTTACTAATAATTTACTAATAATTAGTATTACTTAATACTAACTGAGACTGTGGCTGAGATAATATGGTCAGCACTATGCCCAGCCGCCTTTACTCTCCCTAACGTGAGTTAGGTACCCATCAGGGTAATCTATCGTTTTAAGGGTAATCTATCGTTTTAGCGTAATCAATTCGGCCGCAGTAGTAATGTGCGGGGGTAATCTATCGTTTTGGGTACATAAAATCGCCCGCGGCTATTAATGTACGAAAACGTTACCTCATTGTCAAGGCTGTAATAGAAGTATATTGTGATGTTTGTGTCAAATATTATAGATAAATGAATAATAAACCTAAATCAATGGCTAATTACATCAATATAGGCCAGAAATTAACTTTAAACAGCATTGTCTGCAAGCAAGATTTGCTATATAAACAGCAGCCATTTGTAAAATAGAGTGACTTCCGCCTGAATCTCGCGGTATAAGTCTATAAAAATAAAACTTTAACAAGATGGCTGCTATAGTAAATGAGCATGGTTGCATCTGTTGGAAACATCGCTGGTGTTCATTTATTACTGAAAAGTTTTAATTCAGTTGTTTAAAAACAGGTACATAAATGAAACAAGGAAACATTTTTGTATTTTTCGAAACATAAATCCTCCTCAAAATGTGAAATAATTATTAAAATGTAAGGAGTCACCTTTTTTTCACATTACTAGAAGTCGCGGGCGATTTTACGTACCTAAAACGATAGATTACCAGGTAATCTATCGTTTTGGGTACGTAAAATCACCCGTGGCTATTAATGTACAAAAACGTTACCTCATTATCAAGGCTGTAATAGTCTAATAGAAGTATATTGTGATATGTTTGTGTCAAATATTATAGATAAATGAAAAATAAACCTAAATCAATGGCTAAAGATATCAATATAGGCCAGAAATTAACTTTAAACAGCAGTGTCTGCAATCAAGATTTGCTACTATATAAACAGCAGCCATTTGTAAAATAGAGTGACTTCCCTCTGAATCTCGCGTCTATAAAAATAAAACTTTAACAAGATGGCTGCTATAGTTAGTATAGTAAATGAGCATTGTTGCATCTGTTGTAAACATCGCTGGTGTTCATTTATTACTGAAAAGTTTTAATTCAATTGTTTAAAAACAGGTATATAGGCTAAATGAAACAAGGAAACATTTTTGTATTTTTCAAAACATAAATCCTCCTCAAAATGTGAAATAATTATTAAAATGTAAGGAGTCACCTGTTTTTCACATTACTAGTCGCGGGCGATTTTACGTAGGCCTACCTAAAACGATAGATTACAGATTACCATGTGCGGGAGAGGTAATTGATGAATATATTTGTTTAAATAAGTATATTTAAGTCAAATTTTACAAAATTAAACAGATAATTGATTTAAAATAACAATCAGTGACCAAAAAAATTTAAAATACCATGAAACTAACTTTAAACAAGGTGTTTGAGATAAATGTTAGTAGATCTAGATAAAAACAGCGGCCATCTTTCCAAATAAAATTTAGAGTAGTTTCCCTTGATAAAAATGTCTATTCGTACGTATATTGTGTTGACTTTGTTGTTTAATATGCATAGCTGTCTTGTTTAATGTAAGTAGTACAGAGGGCCGTCTTCTTATCTTTAATTTCAATTTAAATGAAGGCTATGTATGTATGTATGTATGTACATCCAAGATCTCAAAAACTTTTGGGAGGTCCATCATTTATTAAGCCCTTTTGTACTGATGAACTTGTCAATTATTAGGTCGTCCATATTCTTCATAAATGACGTAGGACTCAAAATATGGGACGGGTAAAAAAATTTTTTTTTTAAATGATGAACAATATATTCGTTTTCGTTAGAAATTGTGATTACGCGTTCGGGTATAGTAGAACTGCGATATGATATTAAATCATCATCTCGCTTTTAGTGACGATTTGGGGAAAGGGAATTCGTCGGGAAAAGTATGATGTCATTTATGGACAGGGCCGGCGCTACCTATAAGGCGAACTAGGCTGTCGCCTAGGGCGCTGTTCGTAGGGGGGGGGGCGCCAAAATGGGTTGGAAAAACAAATTAAAAGTTTGAGGGGGTGGGGTTGCAAATCGTAAGCTTGTCCCCGGGCGCTGGAAGGGTCGCTACGCCTCTGATAATACGGGGGCATGAAAAAAATTGCGGGGGGGGGGGGGTGCGCTTTTAATAAGTTTTGCCTAGGGCGCTAAATAATCTGGCGCCGGCACTGTTTATGGGTGATCCATTTAAGCCTAGTTGTTTATTTTGTCTGTAGACATTAGTCTTAAGCCTACACCTTTTCTGAATTAAGATTATTGTGTTTATAAAAATAGTTTTAAATTTTAATTAGTTACATTTGAATACCACATGGTTTTTTTTTGTTCAATAGTCGTTGTTTACCCCTCCCCACCATCCATTATTACAAAAACAAAAAACACTCAATATATGGTGATATCTCCCTCTAGAAAAAAACTAGATCAACCTATAGTTCGTAGGAGAATTAGAATCTATCACTTATTCGTCTGTTAAAAAAAGAAACACGTCATTTTTCTCAACCCCGCCGTTTCATCCCCCACTTAGCACAACGTCACCAAGTTCTCGGCGCGCGTGACGTCATTAGGCTAATGTTAAAGAAAGAGATACCGCGGAATTAAAAAAAAAAATCAAAACAGGCACTATGGAGTTGAGACTTTAGCGACTTTTAGCCTGACGAATAGATCTAAATGACTTTAGTTCGGTAAATTATATTGGTGTTTAATTTATTACAGTGGCATGCGGTGCTCCCTCTACTATACAAATTCACGTGCTTTTAATTTCTGCAACCTGCTGCCCTGAGACGTTCGGCTGTAAAATGCCCGTGACACAGCGGCTTCCGTAAATGCATTTAGGCTCCCAGTCCCACCTATAAACTTCGTCTGCCCATTAAGCTCCACGCAAAACTTGAGATTGATATGTGGACATAAGCGGCGATAGTGGTGGTGTCAAAAGGCCCCCCCTCCCCAAGCTCAGCTCTTAAAGGTGCTCCGCACTTCATAAAAGACAAACTTGATGTTCAGACATCGTCGGACTCGGGCGTTTAGCCGACTGCCGTATTCCTGATGCACCGTCCACTGCTAACACTATTTCTATATTAAACTCAAGGCTATACTGAGCTCTGGCTTTTTACATCAGCTGCTTTCGAATTAAGGATTGATCTTTTGTTATGCCCCATGTCGCGAAACTTGCTGTTTTGTCCAATTTTACCTGCAAGCCAATAATTGTCTTGGATTCTTGTCGAATATCGTTGCCAGGAGCTAGTTGGTTTGAGCCTTATTGTCAGAAGTTATTACATTTGGAGTCAATGTAGTGCGGCCTATTTTCGTCGGTAGGCATTTAGTGGCAGGCCCTTTTTGGCGGGGATGATGTGCTGAGGTTGTTTAACTTTAACACCGCTTAGGACAACAGGCTTGCAATAGTTATGATCATTCGTTATGAGCAAAGGCATGCATGAAAACGAACGCTTTATGTTCCTCATTTTCATTGAGCACAGCTTTATAGAAGTCTTCCATAATTGACGTCACTCACCCCCCCCCCGATCACCCCTTCATTATAGGTCATAAATTGCAGTCCTGCGTAACTTGACGTCACATTAGAATAGCATATGTGACATCGTTTATGGACAACCCCATATAACTCATTTTGGGTATTTGGTATCAACATTTTGACAACAAAGGTTGTTCAAAATGTGTATTGGAGGTTAGGACTTGACATTTATCATAAATGACATCACGCACTTAAGGGATGGAGTAACTGATTTTGAGACGACGTTTTACGCGGGAAAGGGGAGGGGTAAGAAACGTGAAACGTTAAGTATTTCGCCTAATACAAAAATGCTGAAAAAAATTCTTTTTCGTTTGAATTATGGCTTGACTTTTTAACAGGCAGGGCAAAAAGGTAATTTTCGACATTACGACTATTTCGTGACGGCGAAAATGGGGGGAGTGGGGGGGGGGGGGTTAAGATGAAGATAGGTAAAAAAAAACGTGACGTCATTTATGATTTAATAACTAATTAAAGGAAAAAAGCATGAAAATATGAAATGAAAATAGCAAACAAACAATGACACAAGCAATAACAATTAACTCAAACTAATATTTAAATAAACATTAGATATGTAGTGGTAGCTCTATAAAAATAGGGAGTTTCTTACGCATAAAAATTGCATATCATAATAATAATTGTAGAACTGATGTTTATTGTCAGGCAATTAAATTGTTTAAAGGGCAGAATCAAAAAAAAAAAAAAACGCATGCTTTGTATTTAAACACAAGACAAATGTATTTAATAGCAAACATAAATACATTTCCATACAAATAGAAATGAAAGGGAAATGACTCAAAATAATATTTTCTTAAGATGGCCGCTGTTTTTAATAGCAAATTTAGTATCTGGAACATCGTTGTTAAACCTTAATTTCATGACATTTTTATTGATTTAACCCTTAAATGTGGTTTAATATTCAATTATCGGTAAAATCTTAGTTTAGCGTCGTAAATTCCAACGTAGCTAGTAATGTGCGATGAAGGTAACTAATGAATATTTCTTTCATTTGGCCATATTTATGTCATATTTTACATAACATAACAGATAATTGAATAACAAATCACAATCCAAGACCAAACCAGTCATAAATATCCTGGAATTAACTTTAAACTACCCCGTTCGAGACAACAATGAGTAAATACAAGCAGCGGCCATGTTTTAAAAACAATAAATTGTCTATTCGCATGTCTTTTGTGTTGATTTTGTGGTTTAATATGATTGTTTTGTATTGTTTTAATATATGCCGGGGGTCGTCCATAAATGACGATACACTCGTAGGGGGGAGGGGGGTCCGTAATTCTGTGACGTTGTGCGATGAGGGGGAGGGGTTCAGATGGTGCGACGTCACACTTTTGCATTTTAAAAAAGCAATGTTACAAAACGAATTTTAGACTTTATTTTGCGTTTTAAAAAACTGTTTTAACGCATTGTAATAACAATTGATTAAAATACTCTATTTTGACAGAGTTCAGACAAGATTTTGGAAAAATATAGCTGTTCAAAAACAATTCAACTGCAATTTTGAGGGGGGTTGTAGGCTGAGGTGTGACGTCATTTTCGGGGGGGGGGGGTCTGGCTTTTTGTGACGATGTGTGACGGAGAGGAGGGTGGGGGGGAGGTAAAAAGCGTGACATCATTTATGGATGACCCCCTGTATAGTCATTTTTCTTTTTTTTTTATATAGTTGACATGAATGACTAATAGACCTTATCAGACTTAATAGTGTGCATCCAAGACCACAACAATTGTTGGGAGGTCGAACTTTTGAGCACTTTATTTGCAGTAAGCAAATCAATATTAGATCGCTCATAAATGACGTCGCTCTTAAGATAGTAATGACAGCGTGCATTATTACAGAGTAAACATATGAACATATTGTTTCAGATAGATTTGTGGTGGGGAGAGGTTGAGTAGAACTCAG